GGGGGGGGGGGGGGGGGGCCAGGGATGTGCCAGCAAAAACCCTCGGGTTTAGGGTCTCTCCTTTATACCACTACCGTGGGAGTGCCCGAGGGGCCGGCATGCATGGTGCCAGTCGCCTAGCTTCACCTAGGCTCCGCGTACGCGTTTTTTCGCCGCTCGCGAAGTTCGGGCTCTGCGTGGCGGTTGTCGAGCCCTCCGCGAAGACTTTAGGGATTATAAGGCTTAGGATTTAGGGCTTAGGGTCTAGGGCTTCGGGCTTTGGGTTTAGGGCTTAGGGTTTAGGCTTTAGGGCTTAGGGTTTAGGGCTTAGGATTTAGGGCTTAGGGTTGCGGAACAGACAAATGCTTTGAGGGATCTTCTCGCAGGGCTTCTGGCTGGGCAGCTTCCGGTTGATGGCCCCAGGAGCTTCAGTGCATACCTTTCGGGAATGACGGCTGAGGGTTCATCGCTTAAGGTATGAAGGGTTTAGGTCTTTGGGTGTTTAGGGTTTACTTAAGGATCCAGGATCATGGGACTTAGTAACTGAGGTCATAAACAAGGTAACTACAGTTATAATTACTTATAACCCCAATTGAGGTGCCTATTATAACCCGGCTTACTAAGTCCCGAGATCCTCCAAGTAGGGTGTTTAGGGTATAGGATGCAGGCTATACGGCGCTTCCGGCACTTGGCACATAAAAGCCGACACATGTCCTGCCCCTCGCCCTCAACAAGCTCGAAAGTCTCCGGAGGGAATCGTCTCTCTCACCCGAAGCCCTAAACTCCACAAGCCAACAAGGCAGGCTGGATTGCAAATATCCCAGCTCCCCGATGTAATCAGGGTGCTCTTTTCCTATACTTCAGGTTCGACCGAAAATCTCCGCAACAACCAGGCTTAACTAAAACTGACACCCCAGAAGAACCAGCATAGAACACCGTAACATGCTTCCAAGTCGTAAACCTAAACCCTAAGGCCCTAAACCCCGAAAGCCCCAAACCTTAAACTCCTTAACCCCTAAAGCCCCAAACCTAAAGGCCCTAAGCCGTAAACTCCAAAACCCTTAAAGCCCCGAAACCCTAAACCCTAAACCCCTAAAACCCAAACCCTAAACCCTAAACCCTAAATCCCTAGAGCCCCAAACCCTAAACCCTAAACCCTTAAAGCCCAAAACCCTAAACTCCACACAATCCCGTCACTCGAAGACTGTGGAGCCTTGCCTGCCTTGTGCGCGAGTGAGAGTCGAAACCCTAAACTCCCAATCCCTAAAGCCCCGAATCCTAACGCCCTAAACTCCTAAACCCCTAAAGCCCCTAACCCTAAACTCTAAACTCCTAAATGCCCCAAACACTAAACCATGAAACCCTAAAGCCCTAAACCCTAAACCATGAAACCCTCTGTAGCCCCTGGAAGCCCGGCTGCCTCTGCAACTGGCTGCTCGGGGTCTGGAGTTTAGGGTTTAGGGTTCAGGGCTTAGGGCTTAGGGTTTAGGGTTTAGGGCTTAGGGTACATCGGATAGCCACCAGCATTTTGAGTAGGACTGCACATAATAAGCACGGCAACCACAACGGAGCGAACCCTAAGCCTTAAACCCTAAAGCCCTAAACCCTAAAACATCGGAGAGTACATCTAGGACCTGTCCCCGCTCCCTCGGGAGAGCTTCCCGAGCCACTGAGCCGTGCACTGAACGTTATCTGAGAATCGCCAGACCCTGGCAGCCAAGAGGCACTTGTTTCTTCCACTTTAATCGTGGGAATTCCTGTTCCTGTGGCCTTTCTACTGTACTGATTTTCAGGGTTTGATGGGCTGTGATTTCGATCTGCTCGATGCTCAGACTCATGCTCCTAAGATGATCACCCTAAGCCCTAAACCTTTCGGAGAGTACCTTTGCGGTGGAATGCCGGACTCAGCAGACAAAACTCGATCCGAATCCACATCGAACCCACTTGCAAGATGCAAAGCCGTAAAACTCGCAGGCAATCGCCTGACTCGGGGAGTACACAACCCTGAAACCCCACCCTGCTCCAAGGACACATATCTTAAGGCTTTCTGGTCCATAAAACCATGCAATGCAGGGCTTTCGGGCAATGTTGTGCCTTGTTGCTACAGCTTGTTAAGTGGGGTCAGTGTGTGTTTAGCACACACATGCTGTCAAGCGGACGCACAGCAGAAGCAGTGCGGCCCGCAGCGTCCTGGTCTGTTCGTGGTGATACTAAAGCGGCCGCGCAAGCGTGGACCGGGTCCCCGCTCTGCCCTGTACAAAGCGACCGAGGCTCGTGCGCGCTCTTAGAAGCAAAGGAGTATCAATCCCAATGACGATGCCATCAAGAGAGAACCGAACACCCAAATCCGAATGATCAAGGCCCTGGACAAACAAACGATCGAAGCCAAGATTGCGCAGAGCAGGGCGTAAAGCTCGCCGAACTAAAGTAAGCCTGGCAGCGACTGTGTGCGCTGGCGGCGGAAAAACCAGTGTGGAAGCGTCCACCCACTGTCCCAAGTGATTGCAGGCTGGGTACAGATAGCGATCGCTGCAGTGAAGCACGAAGACCAATTCAAGCCACGAGAGGTTGTATGCATGCTCCGCCGCGGCATCAAGTTGCCAAAGAAACTCACACAGTTGCTGTATGAAGCTTGGAGGCAAGTCCGAAGCAGAGGCCGCGACAATCAGACGCCAATTCACGGGCAGAGTGTCCTCCAGGTCGAGCCGACGTGTGACTGCTCCACTCGGAAGAATCCATGGTTCCTCGTCCTCACCCTCGGGGCCCGCAGCCCCTGCTGTCCCATGTTGCTGCAGATCTGCGATTCCGAAGAAGATGGCCCGCAAAGCCAACAATGCACGCAAAGTGTCCTCGTGAAAGCGAACAGCCTGTCGATGTACCTCCAGGAAGGTTTGCGGGCGATTGGAGTTAGCAATGCCCGCAAGCACATCCACATGATTGTTGTGAAGCGCCAGCCAGTCTTCAGTCGGACTTTCAGTCAACCCACTGTCCAGGTGAGAGGGCGTGTGCCGCACCAAGAAGCGCCGTGGGTCCAGTTGCCGCAAGAAACCAGCCAGGCGCGTCCAAAGATCGTTATCAGCCGTACCGGGAACACCACCGGAGTCCTGAACCTTCGCAACGCCTGCACAAACGTTGGCAGCATCGGTCCAGACCAGGCAGGGTAGTCCAGTGGCTAAAGCCCATCGCGCTGCAGCTGTGAGGGCCAGGATCTCTGCGCGAGGGGCCGTTTGCGAGAGCCCCGGCACCATGCCACAAGCGACCACCTGGCCCGTGTTGGCCAGAATGACTCCCCAGCCGGCCAATGCGAGGTCTGCACTGCCAAAGGTGTGGCAGGAACCATCCGTGAAAAGGCATTGCCAGCTCCTCCCAGAACCAGAGCAAAAGAATTGATCGGTCGTGTCGATGCCAGCCTGCAGTAGCCGCCGAAGAGCCGGCAAGTGAGGGTTTGCTGGGGGAAGGAGGTGGTGGGTGAGGGAAACGGGCAGCGCATCCCACAGCTCAATCACCCAAGCATGGTCGGCCCGAGCGGCCGCGAATCTGGGGCAGTAACGGACACGATGCTCGACTGAATCCTCGGCCTGGCAAAGGGGGCACATACCTGTTTGACCCAGGTCAAAACGGGCCTGTTGCTGCCCACTCCAGAAAGCCCCGGACTGGATAGCAGCCAAGCGGGCGACATCCAAGGCATCAAGGGCTGTTTGCGCGGCACGCAGCAGAGACAAATCAATCCCACGGAGATCTGTCATGGTCTGGCGGTGTGTGTGCTGATGGGCAACAAATCCAAGCCACGCCTGCTCAAGTAAACGCCGGAGTAGAGGTCCAGGCACTGAAAGAAGGTCGTGAACGAGACCGTCATGATCCAAGACCAAGGGTGGCTCCTGCACAGACCAGCCAACCTGTGCCAGGACTGAATCAAGTTTGGACAAGGGTCCATGCAAGTGACGGCCATCGCGGAGGCCAGAAAAGTGGCGCCACAAGGAAACAAAGTTGGGCACTTTGGTGGCCATACGGCGAGCATCCAGAACACAGCAAAGCAACTGATAGAACCCAGGGTCCGCCGTCATAAGCGGTGCAATGCTGAGCCGCAACAAAGAACTGCTGCCGCCTGGGCGGATACGCAGGCTAGAAGTGGCAGCCGTACGCAGACTCTGCACTGTAGACTCTGCCAGAGGCGTGCCCGAGATGCCATGGAGGGCCTTAGCCCAAAACTTCTTGGGCAGGACCGAAAGTTTGAGGGAGCAGGGCGCACGAGAGCGCTGCAGCTTTTTCCAAAGCGGGTGCAGCATCCGGCAGCGCTCGCGCAGTGCGGAGTTTCGAACACTCGGCCCAAACGACATCACCCCACCCAGTTCCCGAGCGGTTTGCAGAACAGTTAACCCTGTGGCTGCCAGGACGCCACGGTCCGCTGCAACTGTTGCCCATACAAAAGTCTTGGCAACATCGAGCTGTAGCCGCAACAAATCCATAAAGCACCGGACCAGATTGTAGGCGTGCAGAAGAGCGGCAGCTGGAGGTAGGCATGATAGGCCCAGTCTGCAAAGACCATAGCAACAGGGCTGAGCGGACATCCCTCAGGGAAGCCAGAAGTCGAAGTGACGGCACTGCTGACCTGTTGCCGGATCATGAAGCGCCTTTCATTGACCTCAAGAAAAGAACACCAGGGGTCGAGTAGCCGACGTGGGCAGCCGAGTTGTGCAGCCAGCGTCAACAAGGGGACACGCGGTAGGCTGTTGAAGGCTTTGACCACATCAGTTGACAGTCCCAACAGTCGGGTGCCACCCAAGACGCTGAGTTCAACCTCGAGCTGAACAGAGTACCACAGCTCTGTGGCCTCGCGGCCAGGCACAAAGCCGAAAAGACCATCAGGTACAATGGAGCGGAGGGCCAACAGCACCTGACGGGCCCGGATTCCTGCCCAGGTTCTGTAAACGATGGAAAAGAGACAGATGGGCCGGTAGCCGTTCGCATCCAGACGCCCGTTTCCTTTGTAGAGGAGGCACACGAAACCGACAACCAACTGTTTTGGCCAGGGCTTGCCCTCGAGCTCCAGGGAACGAAGAAAGCGGAGTAGCTCAGCTGTGCGTGCCGGTGGGAGGTGAAGCAGGTCGTCACGGGCCCATCCATCTGGGCCTCTTGCCGCGCGGGGGCGAAAACGCCTGAGGGCCTTATTCCAAGTCGGAACATCAATATCCGGCAGATCAAACTGGTGGCTTGGCAAGTAGGCCGCAGCGAAGTCCAAGAATCGCTGCCAGTCAGAGGGGGACGCATTGGCGTGTTGTTGCCAGCGAGGCGCCCACAAAGAAACAAATTCATCATGTAAGTCGGGAACGGAAGAGAGGGTCTGTACTTGCTCAAGTTCTTGGCCCGACTCAGAAACATCACATGCAAGTGTGCACACATCAGCTTCGGCGGTTTGGAGCGCGACGGGAACACCATCAACGGCCCAGGTGGAGTGGCCGCGTAAGTCTAGCGGGCGCTCAACGTGAAGTTGTGCACCGGGAGTATCCGTTGCCAAAATGGCATAATCCCGAGTGACCTGGAGCGTGTCGACCTGTTCAGGGGCAGGATCACGAAGCTCCTGGTAAAGCTGGGCAAGAGAATGATCGTATTTTGCATCCAAGACCTTTGCCCGGTTGTGCAAGTACCAGGACTCAAGCCTGCGGAAGTTGCCTCGGAAGTCCTCATAGATCAAGCGGGCAGAAGTGGCATCAGGCACTGTCAGCGGCACCTGTGTGGGACTGCCGATTAGGCGAACCGGGCGGTTAGGCCACCAGGTAAGGAAACCACCGCGGAATCCACGTGCATTGCAGATGGCACGCCAAAGTCCAAGACGGTAATCAACAGCAGAAGGGGCCGGATTGAAAGATCGTGTGGCATGCGCCAAAGACTGAAGTCGGCGCAGCTGCTGAAACCAACGTCGGACTTCAGCACCAAGGTCGTCGTGACGCAGAGAATCTTCGCCAGGACGGCTGGGGCGCAAAGGGCGAGGCTGACAAGCTGTACGTTGGGGCTTGGTGCGAGCGCCACGTCCGAAACAGTTGGACGGAAGATGCCCGCCAGGGAACGAAGAGACATGCCCATCAAGGCTACGCTCAACAGCCTTAGAAAAGGAGGAAAACCAGCGCGTGCTGTCTGGAGCAGACGGAATAGACTGATGCCCCGCAAGCTGGTGCCAGGCACCAACATCAACATCAGCCCAAGGAAGCTCAGCAGGGAGCGGCCAAGAATGCTCAACAACGGCGTGGCACGGGAGAGCAAACCCGGCGATTAATGTCGAATGCTCCTGGAAGACCTCAGATAGCCTAACCTGAACACAGTAAGATGCCGCTTCAGGCGAAAGCCAGATGAAGTCACGCTGCGTGGCATTCTTGCAGGTGGGCTGAGGGGGAATGCCCCAGAACTGATGAGCGAGGTCTTGCGCCTCGACCCAACCGTGTGTTTTCCAGATTTGGCATTGGTGCAGGCTGGAAGTGTCATGGTTGAAGTCACCACAGATGACCCGAAAACCTTTGGAGCCAAGAACGACTTCGCGCGTCAGCGTTCCAAGCAGGGTGTCGGTGCGGTGGAGTGCATCCGGCCATGTGGGGCCTTGTGGGTAGCCATACACCGTGGCAATCATAACAGACAAGGAGTCGTGAAAGTGCCGGCTGATCATGACCCGCCCGGTCTCAAAGAGGCCAGGAGGCCAATCCACATTAAAGGTGCTGCAGGGTAGATCCCCAACCTGAAGCACCCCTGTCCAGGAGCCAGCCCAATCACTATTCACTCGGAGTGCCGCGGGGGCACCAGAAGTCACACGGGCGTGCCGATTGACAGCTTTGGCACATGCTTGAAACTGGCGGCGGCAAGCGGGGAGGCTAACAGCCGAAAGCTGTGTTTCCGAGAAGCAATGAACTCCAAACCCCCAATCGGAGTAAAATGGCTCCTTGGAGCGAAGGCCAGACGGATTGCTGGTACTGACGAAGAAGTTGGCCGCGGGGCCTGGATGGTCCGCTTCGCCAAACCGAACTGTAGGAACGGTGTGCAGGGCCTCCACAGAGGGACCGCTCAAAACCCAAAGTAGCAGTCCAGGAATGCCGTACACAGAAGTTTGGAGCCCAAAGCACCAATGCAGCAAGGCAAAAAGCACCCAGCAAACACCAAAGCGGGGTCGGGCATGCTGGGAGAAACGCTGAGGATTGTGCCCAGAGGCGGTGGGGCAGAAAGAAGCTGACGGCCCGCAAGCTTGCCCAGTGCTGCGGCCGGCGTGCCCTAGTCAGTGCCGCTGTTTTTTGTCGGCAAAGAGCGACTGAATCTGCTCCATCTGCCCCGCAAGCTGGGCTGCCATCTGATTGGTCAGGTTGCCCTGCAAAGATGCAACCGCACTCTGAACAGTAGTCTGCAGGTCAGTGCGAACCTTACCAAGCTCAATTTGCTGCTCCTGCACAGTGGTTTTAAGTGCTTCAAGCTGGGTAGCCTGGTCAGAGACCTTGGTGCCGAAGCCCTGGAACCAGGTCTCAAACTTGGCGCCTTGGTGACGCATCTCCGTGACAGTGGTTTCGAGGGCATGCAAACGCTTGTCCTGATCAGAGAGACCTGGTGGAGGTCCTGCGGCATCGCGCTCATCGAGCTTCCGCTGCACGATGTCCTGCAAATCATGTTTCAAGCCGGCCTCAAGCTGGGCGATTTTTGTGACAGCCTCAGTAGAGGAACTGGCGGCCTGAGGCACGGGGCGAGCAGCAGACCACGGATCAGAACCATCCGCCCATGGGTCGGCGGGAACATCAGGATCATCGTCAACCAGCAAGGCGCGGCGAGTGCGCACAGAAGCACAAACCTCCTTGGAAGGCACACGGGGCTGCCCAACATCACGAATCTTGGTAGCAAGTACGAAGCCTTGGCCTAATGGCAGTGCGAGGGCAGGTGGATCGCAGGAGGCCCCGACAATCCAGGCACATCCTACTGAATCCCCCCGATCCGGCTGCAGCGGCTTGCAGTTCCACTCCCACTGCTTCAGCAGTTGCACCAGGTTGTGTCGTTGGAAACCATGAGGCAGCGGGTGCAGCCGAAAGCGTGCCGTGACCCGGACCTTCAGAAAGATATGCTGTGGGCGAAGCATCTCAAAGACAGCTTGCTCGTCGGCTTCCTTTGTCCGGAGCCCAAACTTGTGACCAAGCCTGGTGACAGCTAATGCTTTCTCCGTGGTCCTCATAGCAAGTTGGGCCTGAGCTCCTGTTTGTCCCGGCAACCAGACTACAGCCCAAGCAGCATGGGGGCCGGTACCATCAGCTGCGCGAGGTTCCAGGTACAGGCCGTCAAGGCTCGTACTGAAGACATGGGGCAAAGCTGACGCAGGCAGCCTCAGGAAAGCCTGAAACAACTCCGCCTCGGCCGGTTTGGCCTTGCCGCCTGCCAAGCGGACCCATTGGCGGGCCCAAACGTCGAGAAAAAGGTGCTCAACGACTTCATCGACAGCTGCGTGGAAGCCCGAGCATTTGCCACCGCAGGTTGGGTCTTTGCAGACTTGGAATTCCGGGACCTGCTGCAGAAGAACGCGGAGCGGAGCCTCGCAAAACTTCTCCCAGGAGTGCTTGTATTCGTCACGGAACAGGTTGAGGCGGCAAACCGCCGTGGACAGGTGCTCAACTTCAGCAATGTCTGTGGCACACAATTGCACCTCCTCATCACCCAATTGGATGAGCGATCCTGAGACCAGAATTGCCTCCTGCGTTGGCGTAAAAACAGCAGGGTAGCGCACAGAAGAGACTTGCAAGGCCAAAGAGTCAGGTAGCTCCGCAGTGGTAGCCAGGGCCAAGGCATCAACGCTGAGATTGCGCCCCAAGGCCAAGAAGGGGCCAGCCTGTTCCACCGTGCAAAAGCAGATGCCAGAAGCCTGAGCCTGGACCTCATCAAAGGAGAGCTGCTTGAGAGGGCCACCGGTCTTTGTAATGAAGCTGCCTTCCGACAACTGCAGCTGGCCGGGATCGATGTGGAGCGGGGCGGGAAGACGCCGGACAGACTTCTGCTTCTTGGCCTTAGGCTTGCTGACCTCAACCCCAAAACGATCCTGAGCTTTGGCGCTCGATGTGTGCCTGAAGTTCATCTGCTTGCACCCACTTGAAGAGTGAGCCGGGCCGATTGGCCGCAGCTTTCAAAGCTTGCCACTGGTTTTTTTGCTTCAAGGCATTAGCAAGAGCACCGGCGCCAACTTTGGCAACAGCTGAGTGCACTCTTGCGGCAACCTGATCCTGAGGCACACCTTTTTGAACAAGAAGCTGCTGCAACTCCTGTTCCTGTTCTGGCGCAAGGCCGCCGAGGCCAACAAGGTCTGACTCAAAAGCCGGCAGTGCTGCAAGGAAAGCGCGCGCGGTGTGCAAGGGGTTGTCGCAGGCCGGCTCGGGCAGTAAACTCAAGGCATGAGCGACCAAGATAGCCCCGCAATCCGCAGGGGAGCTTTGCATCCAGGTGGTCCGCTCAAGAAAAGAGTCAAGGCTGCAGCCTCCAAGGAAACATAATGACGCTGCAAGGGAGTACGCCGCAGATGCGTTCCGTCCCGGGATGCCATCGAAGACGGTAGCCTGAACCAAACTGCCATGGGGGCGCAGAGTAAGAAGCGTCCAGTGCCCATCGTGCATAAAAGGCGCCAGCAGCACATGGTCTGGCGGAGCTGCGCAGTGGCTGCAAGAGAAGGAGGAAGAGCCTGGCCTGTGAGCGCCAGGCGCAGCAGAACATCGGCAACACGAGGCGGAAGCAGCAGTGCCGGAAATGTGGGGCACACACGCATGGCTGCCGATAAACCGCACCAAATTGCCAGATCTGTGCAACCCTCAGCGGGGTCGGGGGGAGAAGGCCGCACTAGCTCAGCTGAAGCCGGCACACGGGGGCTGGGCCCAACGTACGAACAAGCAACGGAGGCCGGAGATGAAGGAGACACCAGCTGAACAGGAGGCTGAACCTCATCCCGCAGGGTGGGGGCGAGGGACGGGGAAGGAGCCTCTGAGACCGGATGGTCTCCACGGGGAGAGGCGTGCGTGGCCGGGGGGCTGGGCTGAGAGGCAGTGGTAGTTTCACCTGAGCCTGGTGTAGCGGCAGACAAAGCCTCAGAAAGGATCTCGGGGACCAACATGAGGTCGGCTGGCTGCGTGGCAGACATGGCATCATTCTCAAGTCGGGCACGTTTAACGAATGTTTGCACCTTGTACGTTGGACCAGAGGGCTGGGGATGCAAAAAGGCATGCGCAGGCAGGGCGCGAAACCCATCAGAAACACGGGCAAACAAGCCAGGAGCAAGCTCAGCCTTCACAACTTGCAAAAGACGGCCGGTGGTGACTGGTCCAGGGACGTGAACACGTGCAACCGCAAACTCTCCCTGCAGCTGAACCACACCGCCGGCCTGCAACGAAGGTGTAAGCCAAGTATTTTGACGCTGCTGAAGAAGATGCTCCTGAAATCTGCAGAGTTCTTGCAGGGGGCCCGGCGAGTAACTTCCATAGGCTTCGGCCGCCCAGCAGCGAATGTGGGCAAGAATCCAAAGGGCCTGGAGTGGGGAGCTCAACTGCCCAACCAAACACAGAGCGGCACGCGGGTCCTGAGGCAAGGGGTGGGAAGGCGGCAACGCATTAAGGAGTCCAACTTCGCGCGGGTGCAAAAAACGTTGGCCTTTGAGTGGCACGGAAGGCACCCCAATGCCTCCCAAGCCCCTCGTCGAGAGACCACCCGGGCTGAAAGCAACACTTCTACATCCACAAGGGCAGGCCCGAAGTGCATTGCCCCAGCTGTGAAGAGCGGTTGGTGCCTGCATGTTGGCTGCAAGTGTGCGGGCCTCGGTACCATACTCTGGGTTGCTGTAGGCTGCAAGTTCGGCAGGGTCCCATAACAGCTCAGCTTCAGCAGCTTTCGGCCAAATGGGCCACTCCGGGATGACCCGTCCAGTTGTCCAAGTGTCGCGGCTTTGTGGCCAGCAGGGCAAGGAGAATGCAGGCATGTTGCTTGGCAGCAAGACTGCCCACCACCGAAGACGCTTAGAGGCCCATTGATGCGAAAGCTCTAGAACAACCTCTGACATTCTGAAGCCGGCCCGCCTCGCGAAATCTCGCAGGCAGGTGAGCGCATCCTGGTGTTGCTGGATTTCAGTCACGCACTCAAGGACAACACCACTGGCTTGTGAGTGCCAGGCAAGCTGCAAAACATGGCACATTGTGTGGCTACGTGGATCCCGGAAGCCCAGCATGAGCCCCTGACGAGAGTAACCCTGACACGGGATGCCCGCAGCAAGGAGGCAGCGATGTGCCGGTTGGGCCAGGTGAATCTGCTGTCGGATGGTGGAGTCAGCGAGGTCACCCTGAATGACCGGAGCTGACTGCAACCGCAAAGCTGAGCAAGCCAGGGCACATCTGTCTGACACTGCGAGGCAAGTGAACCCGAGAAACTCACCTCCAACCGAAATCCCTCAAAGCCCAGCGCAAACCTCCTTGAGGACTCGAAAAGAATACTCATGAAGGGCAGGTCGTTCCACAATAACTGTGCCAGATAAGATCTGAAGAAAATGTGTTTTGCCCAACATTCCCTTGTACTGCACATTATACAGCGTAAGGGTGGTGCCTGCCGGATGGATGCAAGGAAGGTCGCTGCAGCGAGCTGTTTCACCGTTCCAGGGTAGGCTCAAAGTAGCCGCGCTCTGGTCTATGTCATGCACCAATGCGACGGCATCGAAACTTTGCCCTATTGCCAGCGAAGAAAGGAGAGGATCCCCTAACATTGCGAAGAGCAAATCCCTCGAGGGTCGGTTGTCAACAGCTGCACTACTGGAAAGACTCGAGCCCGCAGCTGGGTCAGTGTGTGTTTAGTTGCGCTTAACTCAAAGCTGACGCAGACTCAGAAAACCTGCATGAGCCCTAAGCCCTAAATCTAACAAAACCCTGGCAGAACCCCTCAAAGAACCCTGTTCTTATCAACAATAACGCGCCTATGCTCCCTTTACTCTTCTGCACATTCTGGGTGGAACCAGGGCTCTTGTTTGTCATTTTGGGGGCATCTTCTGGGCACTCATTGAAGGGTTTAGGGTTCGGGCTTAGGGTTTGGAGGAGTTTGGGGGCCTCTGCCAAGATCAGGCAACTCAAGACGAAGGAGCATATCCCAACTAGGATACCTCTAGTCCCAAATATAACTAAGTCCTCTAAGCCCGGATGTGTAGCATCTCTCCTTAGCAGCCTTTTTGGCACCTTCAAGGGGCCTTTAGAGGAACCCTTGCAGGAGGAGGGATGCTTGAGAACAATCTTACAGCTTTCGAGTAAGGGTGTTGGGGGGTATCTTGTGGGGTGGAACTAGATGTGGACAAGGGGTACCCTAAGGGTCCGAAGGATCTAATAATCATATACTTTTGTTACGGATAGCAGTTTTGTAGGTTAGCATTCAGAAGAGTATATGGTTATGAGGTACTTGGACCCTTAGGGGTATATTATAGGTTGGGACCGGTCTCTCTTTTACTTCAATCTTTACAGGGAGACTCGGTACAAGACTGCGGAACCTAGACACAATAAAAAGGAGTACTCCATGGTGAACCCTCAAGCCTAAGAACGATTTGTGCCTGAGCCCCAAACCCTAAACCCTAACCCCTAACTCTCAACAATAAACTCCTCAACCCCTAAACCCTGAACCAAAAACACCTAAGCTCTGACTCTAAATACAAAACCTAAACCCTAAGCCCTAAATGTAAACCCTAAACCCACTCTAGACCCCTGGTCGGAGTTGTCTTATCTTCAACGGTCGCCGGCGGTGCAGGCAGCCACAACGCACCAGACCTCAAACGGGTGGTTGTCGAAACTTGGGCCCCTTTTGGGTTCCAAAAACTGTATATAGGGTGATGCCGTATTTCAGAGTAGAATTATTTTTTGGTTTGCCAACAGGAGCACGACTTCTGAAGGTTGCCCAAAATGACGAAAGGCTAGAGCATTCAGGGTTTAGAGTTTAGGGTTCAGGGCCCTTTGGGTTTAAGATTATTTTCAGGCTGCCGGGATGGAGGGAGTTTGAGGTTTCCTCGAATTTATGGTTGTGGCGGTGCAGTCCCCCTTCTGGACCAAAAGAAGAGGGTAGTTCTCAAATTGGGGTCCCTTTGTAGTTCCCCAATATAGTACGGCACCCTTTAGAAAAAGGACCCCCCCCCCCAAAGGGACCCTAATTTAGAGAGCTACCCAAGAGCATTCCAAGCTACATGCCACGCCGAAGATCTGGATGCTCTCCACAACTAGAGCGTAAACTTTAGGCCCTAAGCCCTAAACCCCTAAACCCTAAACCCTAAACCCTACCCCCTAAACCCTAAACTTAAACCCTAAGCCCCGAAGGTACATCCCAACGGTCCGAAGTCTGAAGCCGATAGGAATCCACAAGCCCTCAAGGTTTAGAGCTTAGGGGCTTCGGGTTTAGGGTTTAGGGTTTAGGGTTTAGGATTTAGGGTTTAGGGTTTAGGATTTAGGGTTTAGGGCTTCGGGCCCGAAACAGGGTAAAGCACTATACGGCCCTCGTTAAACCGTAAAGTATCCGCTTCACCATTAAGCCCTGCAAGACCGTTCCCTCTCTCTTTCCCCGTCTCTCTTTCCTGTGGGCTTGCAACGGCTTTTTTCAAAATTCAAGCCCTATGAATCTCAAGCCCTGACCCTGAAACTCTAAACGAGCTTTGTGAAGGGGTCTTCTACAAGGAGGCTTTCTACGGCCAAACTCTAAATCCTAAACCCTAAACCCCTAAACCCTTATCTACTCCCTAGCTAGGGTTTCCGGAAGCTTCTCATGCCGGACGATTGGGGTTCTGTAGGCATAAACCGGTAAGGAGCTCTCCAGGCCTGGTCCCTAAACCCTAAGCACGAAATGAACCCTAAAGGGTTTAAGGTTCATATACCATATATTAATTCATAGTACAAGGGTATAGGGCCCCTACTGTTAAGGGTCATTTCGTCCTTAAGGAACCCTAAACCCTAAACTTTTTCAAAGCAAAGGAGCAGAAGCTGCAAGCCCAGAAACCTTGACTCTGATCATCCGAAA